TAAGTTAGCAACACTTAATTTATGCTTAATGTATTGAATATTTTTTTTGAAAAAGCAAATACGCTCCAAACTAATGAGTACCCAATTTTAATTAGAAATTTACGTAGGTATTATGTTATCCGGTTTTGTTTTTTTTTTCAAACCAGATTGTTTAACCATAAGCATACTTGGAATTTACCAAGAGAGAACTAAAATTCTTTATGCAATATTAAATAAATTTTATTTGAAAAATATCCAAATAAATTTCATTCAATTCTAAAATATAAAATTTATGAGAATAAGTATAATATGTAGTTTTATTTGATTCCTATTCCATTCAATCTAGAAAATTTTAATAATTCTATTTTTTTCTATANTAGTTATATATATATATATATATATATATATTAAACTTCTCGTAAGCTTCGTGTTAAATGACTTTTTTTTTTCAAATAGTTTTCTACGAGCTAGGAATCAACCTCTTGACGCTGTTTTTATTATTATTTTTAGTAGTAACCGTTTCATTAACATTATTATCATCATTATGATTGCAATGATGTTCAAAATGAAATTATTAGCAAGTGGTAGTTCACCAATGCTTAATTTGAGTAAATATTTTATTACTTTAGTTACCCATTAAATTTACAAAAAAAATTTTTTTGATTGATTAATCGCCAGAAAAATTAGAAGTTTTATGATATTTATATACCACGGTGGATAGTAATATTTTGTTTTTTAAGATAAAAATATATTAAATGATTTACCAGTTTCTGTTTTTGGGAAAGAAATGGCAATTTTGCTTGCCAAGTGGCAGTAAAGTGGTTGCGTCTTGTAGAGCTCAACCACTGAACTCTAGACTCCAATTCTAATGGTATAGACACAGATATTCCAAAAACAATAGGTTAAAAATAAAGTGAAGTGGTCATCATTATAATGAGTCATGGTAGAGTAGTATAAGTGGTTTAGTAATTTAAATGTTGTTTTAAAATATTAAAATTTTTTTAAGATGACGCAAATAATAAAAAAAGTGATCAGCTGTTATGATCCAATGCCAGAAAGAGTAAGAATCATTTATTCAAATCTCTATTTATTTCTTCTAAAGTTGAAACGAATGCAACGAAACCTACTTATCAGTTACAAAAATTTATATTTTGTTATTTCAACCCTTGAATGTACCCCAATAATTCTCAAACTTAAAATTTTAAACAGTATCTTCTTAAATAACACCCAATTTTATAATCGTGTGCAGAAATGATTCACTTGAACATTTTTAGAAACATAGGGAGCTAAGCAGAGAGTGAAAATAACATTAAAGAATTCAAACTTAAGACTCATCTCTTGTCTAAGCTATTAGGACCGTATTTTCTATATGACAGCTATTGCCCATAATTTAAGGATAACGATTCCAAATCTGTAGATAAAAAGACATGCTATAAATCGCGTAAATATGTTTTTGAGACAGATTTTCGCTGCGCAAACTATCATCTGCACTAATTATTAAGCATATTTAGATTTCCGATCTTTAGATTAAAAATTATTCATGATGTGAACTTTTTTTTGAGGACTAAATTCTTTTCTGCTTTATTTTTTTAAATAAATGTATAGTAAGGGATCATGTTATGGAACATTCGTTTTTTTTAGCTTACTATAATTCAACATTCTCTGATTATTAATTGTTTTAACTAGCTCTAATAACTTATAGGCTTCATTAAATATAAAAATGAATATTTTTTGTGTTTAGAAATGACCATGAAAGTAATAAACTGTTATGGCCATACTGATAGCGGGAACCCTGCAGCGAGGCAGTAGCTTTCTTAATTTCGCTAATTTTTAAAGACATTACAATAATGCTGAGAGGTGGAAACAGAAGAATTTCCTAAATCATTAAACTTACTAAATTACTGTATTTATTTGTCAATTGGCGAACATGTAATCTGATGTATCTGATTTTGTTCGTGTCTCAGACCAGTTTTAATCCATGAAAATCGTACTGCAAATTTATTTGGTAAATTTTGCTAAGAAGATAAACACAGTGCAGAAATTATCAGGTTTCAGATAAGATATTACGAAGTGTTCTTGTTAAAATACATAGGATTTACATTTTTAAAAAATGAAAACACACATTTAAATTCGAGTAATATTATGTTGAGCTAGTAAGCCCAAGAAATTTATTTTCAGGAGAGAAATGAAAGGTTAAAAGATATATCAGATGGTGGAGTATATCAGTTTCCTATAAATTTTGATGAGGCTCTCCTAAAATTTTGTCAAGAGGATAAAGTAACTCAGGTAAGAATATCTGCCTATTTTTAGAGTTTTTACTCTTTCCACTGCAAAAATTTTCTAAAAATAATCTTCTCCCAGTCTCCTAATGTGACTAATGTAATACAATAATGTAGCACAATAATGTGACTAATGTAATGTAATACAAAATCTACTTATTTCTATAGCTGACAATGGGTTTTATTAAAGAATAACCATCAGCATATTCCAGTTATAAAGTTATTTTAAAATTAGTCTATATTAAAAAAGTGTAATTTCCTTAATGCTGTGCAATAATAAAAATAATAATAATAATATAATCACGATCAATAATGTTACAATTTTTTCAAGATCCGAATTTGTCCGAGCAATCTGATTCTCACATACGACTACATGATGTAAATTATTTCAACCATGTTTTAAAGGTCTTCAGAATGGAACCGAACGAGCCGAAGGGCAATTTATAGATATTTTAGAGTGATAAAAGTTTGCCCTTTTTTCATTTTAAGAATCCAAAAAAATATATAATTCTTTTCCATTCATATTACGTAATTCATTAATTTGTTTTCCTGGATAACTGTTATCATATGATTTAAATAATATTTGGTTCAACAGGAATCGTATACCAGCCATTGTCCATGGAAATTCGTCGAATTCGAAAAAAATATTCGGTCGTTGAGGAAAAAAGACAAATGTAGCTTGTATCTGAAATTCATGAGGAGGAACTGATAATGACAAATTTTTTCTATAAATCTATTAAGTATAGAAAAAGACGGAAGGAGAGAGAGATGTTTAATTTGCTGCGCCATGCTTAAAAAACCAGAGATCTCCTATCACCAAAATTTTGAGTTCATCGCCAGACTGTTGTTAAATCCGAGAAAAATTATGGTACAATTTTTTTTTTTGAAATAAAAATTAATTGTAGTGCAAGAACGATTTTCGACCTGCGTGCAAATTAAACGGACGCTCATGTAAATAATACAGTTGGAATGATCTAACATGCTACAGACGAAACAATATTTTATAGCTTTATGGTCAGTTGTGACATTTGCTGTTTTACTTGGTATTTAATTTCAAAATTTTCTCTGAAAGCTTTTTTTTCCTTAGCAAAACAACTCAAACGTTCGAATATGTCTTGATTTATATTTCATTAACGTAATTTTCAGATCAGTTGCAAATTTTAGAGCACTTCAACAGGAAATATAAAATTTAAAATACGCAACAAGAGAGCAATTCCCTCTTATCAGACACTTTCATTCAAAAGAAAAGCCCGTTTTATAGTAACTGATAGAATAATTAAAAATTGGCTTGCTGATGAGAAAGGTAAGTCCGGGCTTGCAAATAAATAATAAAAAAGGCAGTTAACTAATATGGTTTCCTCCCCAAACACGATTTACTTCTCAAAAGTTGAGTAGTTATACATTTGTGTTAGATTCTTACGCAAATCACAGTAGCTACCTCTTGTCTCTAAAAGATCAGATGAAGTTTGAAAACCAATAAAACAATAGATCGGAATTTGATAAAAATATATAGTTTACGGCATTATGCTTGGGGCCCTTATTTATTTCATCCACAAAATTGAAGATCTGGAAAATTTTTAACCTATTAGTATCGCTTCAATACAGAAAAAATGCTTTAAACATTTGAATGGCCTGTACGCAGTTGTGGTGACATCGGCTGTTTTGACATGCTAGTCATAATAAAATTTAAAATGAAGTAAACTGCAACCTGAAAATACAACCTTTTATGTAGCAAAATACAATATTTGAGCAAAATCAGTGAAATAGTTTGCAGAATTCGAATTTCAGTAAAGTCATATGCTTAAAACTTGATTTCTCAGGAACTCTGGCCATCTCGACCGACTCTGCTAATACTTTGTATTTTGCTATGTAAAATTCTTTTTTTTAAATGATGTAAAAAAATCTATGTCTCAAAATTCAAAATTTTTTTGACCATTCTCAAAACAAAAATAACACATTTTTACAAAAAGTTATTTTTTGCCTGGAATTACCTTTGGATAAATGAATTTTATTATTATGTAAAAAAAAAAATTCAATTTGCTTAAAAAGTTCATGAGATATAGCAAAATACGCAAAAAGTAAAATTATCATCAAGAGATCAAAATTCAGGAGCGTTCTCCTAACCAAACTATTGACCTTATTTCCCAGGTTGTGTACCATATTTCCCTTTGATCTGGGGGTCAAAAATTTTAATCTGTTGAAAAAAGGTAAGTTTATTTAGAAAAAGTACGTTTTTGTCTTTCATTTCGTAACTTAAAATATCATCTGCCCTAAATAATTATTGGAATTTCCCCCTAAAACTATTAGGAATGAGTTCCAGAACGTGAAGATAAGATCGGATCATTAAAGTTATTTAGGTTCTTCGATTTTTATTTTTTGCACTGTGCTGACCAGGTGGTCGAGTGGTTAGCGTACCTGACTGTGGAGCCGGTGGTTGCGGGTTCAAATCCCGCTCAGGGAATAGATGTTTCTTTATCTCTCTGTGTGTTGTATGTCCTTTCTTCTGTGTGATTGTGTGAAGGTAACCCGCCCTATAAACGGGTTTGTGGTTGTATGGCGTGTGCGACGATACTCCTCCGCCGTGGCTTAGCTATAGGTGCTCACAGGTTAACGATAAGAGAGTAGCAATTCTGGCATTTCTGAGGCCAATGTGATATAGACCCAAGTGCCCACCATTAAGCAAAAAAAGAAATAAATCGCACTGTGCATCTGTTGTTCTAATCTATGTGTTATTCAACGCATGTTGGACGACTTGGTATAGAAAAGTACTCCGTAAGGCACTTTTTAAATTCACTTCTTAGTAACATTAGTAAAAATATATTTCTCAAGCTTCAATTTACTACTTGAAATTTAAGAACGTAGCCGATGTTTTTAAGAAGCTTTTGTAATAAATAATACTATATTAAGTTCTTATGATTAATTTTACATGCAATTTAAATACATATAATAGCATCCTTGGAAAAAAAAAGATGAATATGTTTATAAGTCAACTTTTAAATGGTCTACAAAAGTAACTGATGCACAGGGCTTGATTACGGAATATCCTGAAAAGTTCTCGTGCGAACAGTCAGATAGATAAAACTATACGAATGTTATAATTTCTTAGATTCACGGGAATACTAAAATTAGCTATAAAGGTTGATTACTACTAAAACACATTCCACTGTTTCTAGTGTGAATAGTGTTTAGATGAAATTATACAACTGTTAAAAACTTCTAAAATAGAAAATAATTTTAAAAGTGGATATCAATGCTAATTTTTATGTTATGCCCTACATAGCTATTAGAAAGAAGAAAAAAAGACAGGTAGATAATAAGCTCACTGGTCGAAAATTTAGTCAACCTAATGCGCAATTACCGATGAATCGTTAGGTTTTGTTAGGTAACGCAGTGGTCAAGTGACGGGCTCAACTGCTTGCGCATTACCTCAACGTGATCAAAGACAAATAGCCATTAGTGAGATATTTTTGTTTTAAAGGGGAAATTGCGTGTAAATATGGACAAGTTTAAGGATGTGACAGAATGGCGAAAATAGGAAATCGGATTTACGGTGAATGCAGTTGGTAGATTTGTCCGGGTTTCAATGCGGTGCTGACTGGAGGGATTAACAGTTGCTGACTGGCGGAAAGTACTGTGGTCTGACGAATCGCGTTTTTGCCTTTATTCAAATGACGCACGTCGTGTGGGTATGTTATGTTTTGCAGTGTTTTTATTAATGTGAATTGGGCCCCTAACCCATCAGGAGGCCACTAACCTGAACCAACATGTTTATTTGAACATTCTGGAGGATCAGGTGTTGCCTTTCTGTCAACATCTTCATGAAGAGTATGCTGTCGAAACCCCTATTTTTCAAGATGACAACAGCAAAGTTTGTAGGTCCGGAAGAATGTGTGACTGGTTTTATGAACTCTCACATACTCAATTACATCTCGACTAGCCTGCAAAATTACCCAACTTTTACCCCCATTGAAAATGCTCGGTACATGTTAGTAAAATGCCGAAATCAGCATCCTCGCAATTTTGTGGATTTACGCTATCAAATCCTCAGAGAGTGACTTAAACGGGATTCGAGTTTCCCGCCAAACCTTTGGACTCACTTCCTAACCGAAGGTGGTCCAGGTGTTCATCAAATCCAGAGATTTTGTTACACATTATTAAATTATGTTTTTTCATGATTTCTCTAAGGTTGACTCTTTTTTGTCCAGTGTGCTTACTATACAAACTCCTACAGCTGCAGGAATATTAAGACTAAATATTACAAGCGATCACTGTCGGAACACATTGTTCATATGGTTATTAGAAAAATAAGCATCGGGATATTAAATTAAACAAACGTCATCATATAATGTTTTTTTACCTGATAGATATTACAGAACTATCTGGAAGAAATTGCATATTAAATTGTTTTAACTATATATATATATA